ATATATTAGCCTATTCTTCTTGCAATATTTCCGTGAAAATAAATGACACGTTATATATTATTTGTTCCTATGAATAATCAGTTATATAATATTATTACACAAGTAGGAGGAGCTTTCCTTTGCAATTCTATTATGTATTTAAATAGAATATAAAATATTTTCAATGGTTTCCAATAATGAGTTATACAACAATAACACAAATAATATAAAAATTCGAAAATTATCGGCATGTGAGGAATTTTTTTTTTGCACCTCGTGTATTTAGAATATTTTTAACATTTTAATATAATTTTTAATATTTTAATAAATATTAAATAAGACAAATAACACAAGAAATAAATAACAAAAGTAATATAAAAATTCAAGAAATAAACAACACAAGTAATATAAAAATTCAAGGATCAAAAGGGTATTAAGATATGAGCAGTTCAACCATTATTATTTGAGAAGAATATAAAGTATTTTTAATGGTTTTCAATAACGAGTTATACAACAAACACAAGTAATATAAAAATTCAAAAATTATCGGCATGTGAGGAATTTTTTTTTTACACCTCGTGTGTATTTAGAATATTTTTAACATTTTAATATAATTTTTAATATTTTAATAGAAATAAATAATACAAGTAATATAAAAATTCAAGGATCAAAAGGTATGAGCAGTTCAACCATTATTATTTGAGAAGAATATAAAGTATTTTTAATGGTTTCCAATAATGAGTTATACAACAATAACACAAGTAATATAAAAATTCGAAAATTATTAGCATGTGAGGAATTTTTTTTTGCACCTCGTTTTATTTAGAATATTTTTGACATTTTAGTATAATTTTTAATAAAATATTTTTTAATATTTTAATAAAATATTTTTTATAGAAATAAATAACACAAGTAATATAAAAATTTAAGAATCAAAAATTTAAGTATCGAGATATGAGCAGTTCAACCATTATTATTTGAGAAGAATATAAAGTATTTTTAATGGTTTTCAATAATGAGTTATGCAACAATAACACAAGTAATATAAAAATTCAAGAATCAAAAGAGTATCGAGATATGAGCAGTTCAACCATTATTATTTGAGAAGAGTATAAAATATTTTTAATGATTTATCTACAATATCTACAATAGTTTTAATAATCCAGTCCTTACAAAAGGATAAATACTTGCAATTTTCCTAATAGAATTCCTGGTGGATTAAATCATGCACCAGGATCACTAGCGTCGTGTCAATATCTTTTAAACGATTCTCGAATTTTTATTATTGTACAATTCATTATTGGAAATTCCTACGGTGCACGTTACTTTTGTACCAAGTAATTCTGCTGATATATCGTTCGTCTTTACAAAGGCATGCCAACAACACGCTCTTTTCATCCGCCGTGCAATGTGTAAACTAGCAAACTCGCAGCTGTGTAACTAGAATTTCGTTGGTCTGCGGCGATTTGGTTAGAGAACGGAGGAACGGGACGAAGGAACCGGGTCAAAGGTTGGCAAACTAGCTAAACGACGAGAGCGTGACGACTTGACGGACAGGCGGTGGCCGCGCACGTGAACTCGGTCGGTCGATCGGAGTTTAAAATGCAAGGAAAAATCAAGATGAGATCACTGCCGAACATGGCATCGTGCACGATGCCAATTATCGCTCGCATCGTACGACTGAAGCCGATTGAAGTCGATTGCAGGTGATTGCAATTGCGTGCAATTGCGACGCGTGCCCGCCGCGTTTGGCGTTTTGTCTCTTACCAGCCTCGACGGGCATTCGTACCCGTTTTATCGCGGCATTACCCGGTCGAGTTAATACCTGTTTACTCCCGGCGTGGAGTTCGAAATTGTCGCGCTGTAAACGTAACCCGCCTCGGGGATTGCGGCGCACCGAGACTGCCCCGGGCAAGGGAATCATTATGCGGCTGGCTCCCCGCATCGGGCTGCGAACGTTCGCCAGCCCGCGAACAGAAATATTGACGGTGTGTCGCGATTATGAATGTGGCGACGGTGTTTCATTGTCGGCGGAGGGAACACACTACCCGGGGATAATAAAAACTTTGATTTTCGTCCGAAATCAATATGCTGAAATTTTAATTTGCTCGAACGAACGAGGAAAATCCCTTCTTATATAAAAAAAAAAAAAAAAAGGGAAAAGAAAGAAAAGGCAAAATATTATACACATGAAAAAAATATACGTGTGTGTTTATTTTATATATATATATATATATATAAAAAGAAAAGGCAAGAGCAAACAAAGATATTAGACATATGAAAAAATATACGCGGGTGTGTATATATATATATATATATATATATATATATTTGTATATATATAAATATATATAGAACGTATATATATATATAAAACGTGTATATTTTTATATATATACACACGTATATTTTTTCACGTGTATAATATCTTCGTTTGCTCTTGCCTCTTCTTTTTTATTTTATATATATTATATATTATATATTTATTATATATTACATTTATTTTATATATATATATATATATATATATATATATTTACAGTATATTGCAAATATTATGAAAGAGAAAATCAAAGTGTCTCGATTAGGTAACTATTAAATTTTGTCGACGAAAGAAACAGATCAAGTTATTAAAGTTGATTAAACGTTAATTTTAATTTATTCAATAATAATAAATAAACGGGAAAAATCTCTAAAATATATAAAGGAAAAAGTCACGAGAGAAAGCGCTAAAGTGAGGAACGAAGAAATTTATATACAAAAGACTCGTATATTTATATATATAAAATTCGTATGATTTCAGACACATAATCAAACTTGATGCATCTAAATATATCCAGAGTCTTACAAACTGATAATTTATAAAAATTGATATTACCACGAAACGTTCAATCAATTGTCCATTCGCGCTAAGAAAAGTCATTTAGCAACGAGTCGGACTCTCGCATGTCGCGAGACAAAGAAAATCACACGTCCGGAGCTGTTATTGGTGTTAATTGGAACGCAAACAAGTATTTGTCGACTAGGATGTGAACGTATTCGACGCATTTCGCAAATGATGCTGCGTGACGCGGTACTATAATTAGTCGAGACAAGACGACACGAAAGGCGAATTCAACTTCTTCTCGCGTTTCATATATATATCGTATCTTCTTTGAAGAAATAGCGTTTTGTGCGTCAAAGAGTATCGACAACGTGAAAAGAAGGCACTGTAAGTACTCGTCATCTCGCGAAAGAAGAATCGTTACGAAACGTGGTTCGTACGATAGTTTTGGCAGCTGAAACTGCCAACCGCCGTGAAAAAAGTTCCAACGACTTTTCGCATTGCAGGTTGACCCTGCAGCAAGCTCCGTGCTCTTTGTATTACTACTCTCGTTCTTTACGCTGGATTACGTCGATTTTATTTTTAACCGAATAATAGCGCGCGAGAACCTACGACCTTCGCCTGGTTTGAAAGTGAAAGTACCCGCCGAACTTCTTCCGCGATTGTCTTTGCGTTCGTCTCATTTCCATTGAAACATTCGACTAGATTTGCTAAGCTACGTTTGCTATATTTTCACATTGAAAGAAATTATATATATATATATTATTTAAATTATATTATTTATATTTATATTATTATTTATTACTTAAATTATAAATTATATAAAATTATATTCAGTTATATTATTTGAATTATATTAAATTATATTATTTAAATTATATTAAATTATTATAAGTTATATTATTTAAATTATATTAAATTATTATAAGTTATATTATTTAAATTATATCAAATTATATTATTTATTATTGTTTATATTGTTTATATTGTTTTTTATTTAAATTATATTAAATTATATTGTTTGATTATATTATATTATATTATTTAAAAATTATATTTTGAAGAAAAATTATATTTTCACATTGAAAAAAAGAAAAACTAAAATTCCTCTTCAGCTCGTGAATTGAAGCGTTTTAACTTAAGGCTCGAAGACCCTCGTCCTCGCTCCAGAAATCCACGAGCCATGAAAAATATTCGTGAACTCTAAACTCGGTAGCGTCTGTCGTTGCAAAGAATATATATACTCGCTATACTGAAACTATTACGAAATCATTATCGTTAATGACCGAGAGACACTTGCGCAGTAGATACTATATACATAGACAGATGCTGACGAATAATCGATCGCTTGATTAATCGATGTTCTAATAAACGAAGTTCCGCTCTACGCGTCAACGGTATCGTACGTTCTAATACTATAATTAAACCAAGTTCTGCGCAAGACGTTGATTTAAGATACGTGCCCATTTGACAGTTACACTCGAGAGTATCTTACTCAGCGTTGTGTCCATTTGAGAGCAGCTTTGAGAATTTTCACTCTCCGAGAGTTTACTATTTGATGGAACTCTCAAAACCGTGTTCCATTGTCTCTGATCTATTCGCCGCGGTGAGTTTAGTTCGAAATACGAGCGTGAACAGTGACATCGCTGTCATGGAGGTGCAAAAAATGTGTGCCCTCATAGTTGACCATGATATTTTAAGAAAAACGAAAAATCAATATAAAAGGAAGAGTTCAACGATTTAAATTATCATATAATATTTAATTATATTAATTATGTTAAATATTAAAATATTTATATTTGTATGTAAGAATATTTATATAAAACATTTAAATTATTATATAATAATTATATTATATATTGTATAATATTATAATATTTATATTTATATTTAAATTATAACAATATTTATAATATAATATCTAAATTATTATATAATAATTTAAATTAATAATTAAATAATTATTACATAATATATTAATAATAATAATAATAATATATTATAATAATATATAATAATTATAATAATATATTAATTATAATTAATTATTAAGTAATAATACATTATATAATTAAACAGTGGACAGCTAGCTTTAGATAGAGGGCATCAAGGAAGATCATTATCTAGAGACGAGGCGCAATTGTCTTACAAACCGTTCGTCAAACGACGATTGACTAGTAATTTTTTCGTTACTCACCACGTCTTTGCTCGTGTCTATTGTAAATTCGCTGATGACACGCTCCTCTGCCACCTCGCGGACGTCCTGCACCGAGGTGAATCTCGTCGACTGATCGATCACGTAGGAGGACTCCTGAATCACGTCCTTCACGTCGGTCACGTCGTGTTTCACGACTGAAATTTTCGTGGTATCGTCCTTCAAGAGAGGACTTGATTCGTCATTGGGCTCGTCCCTCGCAGGAGACTCTCTGGGTCTCTTTCGATCTTGCGGCTTCTCGTGTACGAACGAACCATCCCAGGTCGACTCGCCCGGTTTAGTCGGTCTCACGGAGCTCTTCTCGGGGCTTTTAGGACGCTTATCAGGGGACTCTCTTGCGTCGTCAGGTCGTGACAATCGGGGAACATCACCTCGAGGTCCTTTCCCGAGATCTGTGCCACGTTTCTCGTCGTCGACTTCGCGAACTGTCGTCGCAGAGACCTCGAAGGCCTCGGAATCTGAAACGAGAGTACGCTCGAGCGTCGTCGAGTGACAAGTGAGAAATTCGGAGCTCTCCGTCGATGTGTCCGACAGGGTGATGGACTTTTCAGTAACGTAAGTCGATTTCGTGTCCTCTGGTAATTTCCTGCCATCCGCTGGCGACGTTGAAGGGCGACTCGCGACGTCTGTCGATGGTTTCTTATCGGTAGGCTTTCCCACCGGTTTTTCACGGACAAACGAACCGTCCCACGTCGAGGCACCTGGTTTAGACGGTCTGGCAGAGCTGTCGATCTTCGGAAGACGTTTGTCAGGCGACTTCGAGTCTACTGGCAGTTTCTGTTCCGGTGGCAGCTTCTTCTCGGGGCTCTTGGCCCTTTCCTCGATCGTCACGGACTTTTGCACCGTCGTTGGAACGCCGTTACGAACGATCACCGTCTCGACGGAGCTCGTGGAGTAATCCAAATTCGTGGAATCAGTGGTGTGACTCTCGCGAACGGTAGACTGCTCCATTACGACCGATGTATCTGAACTGGCGGTTACTCGCTGAGAAGTATCGCGAATGTCCAACGTGCCTTCGCCGACGTGCTTTCTCGATTTTGGTACGGGACTGTCCCTTGGTTCCGGTCGAGCTTTATCTGCCTCTCTGCTAGCTGGTCTCTTCGTTTCCGGCGATCTCTCTATGACAAAAGTTCCGTCCCAAGTGGACGAGCCGGGCTTCGCGACGACTCTGGCGTCTCTCGTTTTTGGTGTTTTCTCCGGGGTTGCTGGCCTAGTCGACGCCCGACTGCTCGATGGACCCTGGTCTTGGCGCGCAGGCTGCACGTCGTAGACGATCATCTCGTGCACGGACGACAAGCTCGAGTCCCTGATGTCGGTGAAGCTCTGCTGGCTGGACGAATGTTCCACCACGTAGGACGCCGTCGAGACTTCCGCCTCGTTTATCGAATTGTCCTCCGTCACGTCCCGAATGACGACGGAATCGGTCGTCGATCGTCGCGCGTCCGTAGAAGACAATTTCCCACGGCGTTCTGGAACTGGCGGCTTTTCGTAAACGAAGCTGCCGTCCCACGTGGACTGGCCAGGTTTGTAACACCGCGACGTGACGTCTCGTTTCACCGATTCCCCGGAATCTTCCTCCGCGATGGTCTCGGAGACAGAGGTCACCTTCTCGGTGGTCTTCTTTTTCGTCTTCTCGTCGGTGGACGTGGCGTATTCCACGATGTACGAAGACGAGACGGACTCCGACGTGCTGGAGACGTTCTGCTCCTCCGTGACGTCCTGCACGTCCACGGAATCGTGCTTCTTCGCGCTCGTTCTAACGACCGTTTTCTCGCCGGTCGACGCCATCGATTTCTTACCATCCTGCGGCTTTTCCTGTACGAATCGTCCGTTCCACGCCGAGTCTCCGGGTCTCGTGACTTTCCTGTCGCCGAGGACCTCCACTGTTTTGCCAGCGGGTCTACCGTCGATGTAAATCTCCTGCGTGACGTCTCTGCGTTCCTCCGAGACGAACCTCGAGCTGTCGGTACCACCGTGCACCACGTGAACCACGTTCGAAGATTTCCTCTCGTAAGAACCGTCGGTACTTCGTTCCCTGAAATCCGTTCTCTGCGTCGACTCCACGACGTCGTCGCCGCCTGGGTGATGGAAAACGGAGGCATCGGACGCGTTTCTTTTCCTAGGTTCCGGCGTTCTCTCGATCACGAACGTGCCGTCCCACGCGGACTCTCCAGGCTTCGCGTACCTAGTCGAATCTTTCGAATGTACCTTCGAAGTTGTGTACTGCCTCTGTCCTCCGGCTAGGTCGATCGTGTCAACGGTCGACGATGATCGGCCCTCGACGATCTTCGAGTCCTGTATCACCGTCGACGACGAACGCTGATCGACGAACGAACTCTCGGAGATTTCAACGCTCGACACGCTCGCCTCTGTGCTGCCTTTGGAAACCATGCGATCTACTTTCGCCGTGTCGAGACCTGTCCCGGTCGTCGCCCTTCGTCGTGCATCGACGCTCTTGTCTCTGGCCGTGCTAATCTCGCTGACAAACGTGCCGTCCCACGCGGACTGGCCCGGCTTGTTGCATCGTTCGCTGATCCTCTCCGTTTTCACGTTGCCGTTCGCGGTGCTCGAGGATGAGTCGAGGACGACGACCTTGTCCGAGGGTACAACCGTGGTCTCGTTGTCGACGCTGCGACACTGGGTGGCCGTTATTCTCCCATTGTCGTCCAGCTTCTCACCCGACTCGTGGATCCTCGAGATGTTGGCGATCGTCTGCCCGTCCTTCGTCGTCTCCTCGTACGTTTCTTTGCTGGCTTGCCTGCTCTCGTACGACTTGGACGTCGTCTGCACTCTGGGAACGTGGTCTCCGTTGGATGTTGTCGTCGTCTTCGACAGACGATCGTAGTAATCGCCCGTCGAGGACGAGGACGTCTCCACGACCATCGAGGACGATATCGATTTCTGTACGGTCTCGCTGCGACTCTGCGTCTCTGCCGATGATCTGACTTGTTCCGCTGACGTTCCTCCTCGATGCTCGTCCGTGCACACCTCGACGACCTTCCGCGGGCTGTCGCGTACAGTTTTGCCCTGTTTGTTGACCGACTGCGTCTGCTCCTCCGCTATAAAGTCCTGAGAACTCTTGCCCACGGTCGTCCTGTAGGCTTGGCTCACGGTCTGCGGGGTCGATTCGATGACCTTGATGACGTTACCCTTCGAATCCATGATAACCTCGCGACTAGCGCTGGTCACCTCGACCACGTTGCTCCTCGACTCGCTCTCCGTGACCTGCGTCGCCTCCTCGAGCACGCTCGTCGACGACACTACCTCGACGGTCGTCGCGTTCGAGGAACTGGAGGATGTCGCGGCGACTTCCTTCGACGCCCCCTTGCCCCTTTCGTTCTTCTTCCTGTTTATCGTCATTTCGCCTCGCTTTCGATCACCGATCGTTCATGCGAATCGAGACACACGAGAACAACGAGTCGGAAAGGTAAACTTCGAGAAAGGTGAACACGCGTCGCGCACTGTAAAAAAAAAAAACACGAGAGAGGAAGAAGGAAAAGAACGGTTCGTAAGGTGTGTACAAATGTGTTTACTTTCTATCGCGATAGGGAACACGCGACTCGCCGATCCCTCGAGCCGGACTGACGCTTCTCGCCGCGACCGGCCTCGTTTGCAAACCTCGTTCGTTCCTCTTCGTCCTCGGAATGCTCCGGGTCTCTTGTATACCAACGACGATCGTACACACTCTTTTTTTTCTTGTTCTCCTTTTCTCCTTCACTCGGCTCTCTGTCTCTCTGTTTCTCGATTATCAGTCGTCCGTGTTTCGATGGTGAGAACGCGTGTAACTGGTGCGGCAGAACGCGCCGATTCGAGGAAAGATTCGTTCCGACGTTCTCGATCCGGTACCGCGAGTCGATGTGGCATCGACGATGGCTGGCTGGCCCTAGTGACCACACACGGTACACACCGATGCTCTCCGTCACTACCATTGCCACGACGTACGCGAGCCACGGCTCTTTTGCCTGGAGAACGCCTCCCTACTTTTCTCTCGGTGTGTCGCCCGGCGTGGGACGTATATTCGCTCTCGCGCTCACTGTGTTTGTGTATGTGTGTGTGTGTGCGTGCGTGCGTGCACACGATCTTTCCCTACCGATTCCTCTTGCTCACCGTGCTTCTCGCGTGCGCCCCCTCATTCTCTCTCCAAACCGGGTCTCGTCCTTCAAGCTCTTCAGCTCTCGTCCCTTTTTCTTCCCGTTTTGCGTTTCTTTCGCTCCGCGAAAAGCCTCGGCCTCGATCTGGTTCATTTTTCTTTTTTTTTTTCCTTTTTTTGCTCTCGCCGAGAGGCTGCTTCTCGTTTCTGTCAACAGGCGCCAGACGACTAGAAAACGACGTGTTAATACGTCGTACATACGTCTACCACATCAACAACGTTGTATAAACGTCTGCGGCAAGCGCGTGTCTGTCTCCGTTTCGTCACGCTCCGCGTCTGCTTCGAATCACGAGTTCTTCTTCTTCTCGCTTCTATTCATTGATCATTGATTCAGGAATGCCGAGTTGTAGGAAGCGATTCTCGATGCCCCGTGATATTTTCATCTCGATCGTAAGGGAGTGAGTTGCCACGCGTTCAAATTATTCCCGGCGTATTACGATTCATTCACTACTACCTAAGTAACGACGATCTGGCTGACCTGACATCTTTCTTTCTTTCTTTCTTTGACAAACACGGAAGGAAGGTTTTCAGCTTCCGCTGGTTGTGCTACGTAGACACAAGTCTCTGGCAATTTTTTCAGTGATTTTAAAGATCATAATACGCGCGTCGCTATTTTTAGAAAAAGAACCGCGGACGCGGGTTTTCTCTTTCTTTGCTGGGAACCACGTACGTGCAAGAACAAAGTTCTTTGGACTTGGTTCACGTGCGTGGCGCGGCTTCAGCTTCTCGCTCGCGGCCGAGAGATATCGCCGCCGACATTTACTCTCTTCGCTCTCTCCATCGTGAGAGAAAGATTATGCCGCGCGACGATACCACGTACGCACGAACGCGTACGCGTTCCAGGTACAAATGCAATTTTCGCCTGCCCCGCGGAGTTGCCGAGCGAGTGTTCAGCCTGGAACACGTTTCGCCTTCCAATCCCCTCTACCGTTCTTCCGCCGTACGTACACGTGAATCTCTAGATCTTCTCTCAAGCTACGTGTCGGATAAAACGGGAAAGGAAACTACGTTATTCATACGCTGCACAGCGATCGCAACTTTGAACACGGCCGTTGTTAAGAATAAAAGTTTGCACTCGCACGAAGATTACGTAAGCTGTACGTAAGCTGTAAGTACGCCTCGGTCGGCCTGCATCGGAGCGCAAATTTTCTGAAATTTCCTGAATTTTCGTTTTTTTTCTTTTTTTTTTTCTCGTATCGGTTTCAAGTCTCAGAACTTATCAACTGTATACGTGTATCTGTCCAAGTGCAAGGATTTTGCACAAACCTCTCCAATCGTTTCGAAACATTCCTGTTGTTTCAACGACAACGAATTCCCCGATAGTGTTTAATTACACTATCATTGATAATTAACAAACCGATGAATATTTCGTCTCTTTCAAAGAAACGATCTCGTGGATCTCTTTGGACTTTAAAATCTATATTATTGCCACAGCTGTAATCAGTCGCGCAAATTTTATGAAATATTCTGAATTTTCGTTTTTTTTTTCTCGTATCGATTTCAAGTCTCAGAACATATCAACGTTTATCAACTGTATCAACTGTATCAACTGTATATCAACGTGTATCAACTGCATATCAACGTGTATCTGTCCAAATGCAAGGATTTTGCTCAAACCTCTCCAATCGTTTCGAAACATTCCTGTCGTTCCAACGACAACGAATTCCCCGATAGTGTTTAATTACACTATCATTGATAATTAACAAACCGATGAATATTCCGTCTCTTTCAAAGAAACGATCTCGTGGATCTCTTTGGACTTTAAAAATTATATTATTGCCACAGCTGCAATCAGTCGCTCAAATTTTATGAAATATTCTGAATTTTCGTTTTTTTTTTTCTCGTATCGATTTCAAGTCTCAGAACTTATCAACTGTATAACAACGTGTATCAACTGTATCAACTGTATATCAACGTGTATCTGTCCAGAACTTATTAACTGTATATCAACGTGTATCAACGTGTATCAACTGTATATCAACGTGTATCTGTCCAAGTGCAAGGATTTTGCTCAAACTTCTCCAATCGTTTCGAAACATTCCTGTCGTTCCAACAATAACAAACTCCCCATCTTTAATTACACTATCAGAACCTTATAATTAACAAACCGATGGATTCTTCGTCTTTTTCAAAGAAACGATCTCGTGAATCTCTTTGGACTTTAAAAACTATATTACTGCTGCAACTGTAATCGGTCGATTTGTATCGGAGCGCAAATTTTCTGAAATTTCCTGAATTTTTGTTTTTCTTTTTTCTCGTATCGATTGCAAGACTCAGCACTTATCAACTGTATACGTACGTATATCTATCCAAGTGCAAGTACTTTGCTCAAACCTCTCCAATCGTTTCCAAACGACAACGAATTCCCCGATAATGTTTATTTTAATTATACTATAATTAACAAACCGACGGATATTTCGTCTCTTTCAAACGAACGATCTCGTGAATCTCTTTGGACTTTAATGACGTGGCAAACCAAGTGACAAGAAAGAGCGATTTTACGACCAGCGATAGAATGTTTTCGTCTTTTTGATGAGATAATATTGTTCGTTATAAAGTGAACGCGGCTGGAGGAGAAGCAGCGCAGAACCTCGAAGGAACCGGTCCCTCGCGATGTCCCTCGATGTAAACCGGGCGATGACGTAGACCGTGGAGAGACCGCGACGGTCCGCGTCGTTCCTCTCCTCTCGTCCCTCCTCCACGAGGTGTTGGATGTTAGCTCACCGACGTTGGCCATTATTTTCGCGTGCACCATTCGCGAATATAGTGGCTGATTGCACCGCTGTCGGTATCGTTAACGAGCTGACAGAGTTGAAGGAATTATCGTTAGATTGACCCGGTGACACTGAAAATTTATCGCACGGAATCGACCTGCCCGGTGGGGCAGACTTATCGCCACGCCACGTTTCCGGCAGGCCCCGAAATTCACCGAACGATCCTTCCCCAACGTTCCCAACTCCGTCCCGTTTTCTCTGCGACTCGTCGTTCATCAACACTTAGAGACGCAAACACTTCAAGATGCTATGCGCGGAATTCTCGAGTGTTTCTCTCGAGAATTCCGCGCGATCAATCTAGAGGGAAAGTTTCTCCTTATTCTTGTCTCCTTTCTCTGGCATTGTCTCAGATTTAATTACAAAGGATCTTGATCGAACGTCGCCTCGCCGACGAACGCGACGTCATTTCCCCGATTTGTTATTAAGCGTTATTGCACAGACTGTGAGTAAGAATCTGTCTGACCTTGGTGGTTGAAAAAAAAAAAAAAAAAAAAAAAAAAAAGAATGAACCTCTGACGTAATAGGAAATGCGACGTTAGGCAGGAGCGTGGAAAGGATCGGCGTTCGCGTAATTCTGATTCAGCGGCTTCCTCTCGGGGCCGAGACACGCGACATTTCAGTTCGACAGCATCGCTGAATTATCGATCGTGAAATCGTTGTACGTAGCCACGATACGGAGGAAGTACGCTCTTTCTTTAGCCCGACGGCCTTTATCGTCATTTTCCTTCGATTTCTCACCACGATGTATAATTAATGTAAACGTATACGCAAGGCATCGCGACCGAGAAAACAGCAATCTCGCATCGATCGAAAATTAGAACTATCTTTACACGCCGTTTGAACCATCAAACGTCAATGTCGCGGTCGTTGGTGTTTCCGTTTTTTCGCGAATTGTTTTCACCTTTAATATAAATTTTCAACACGACCTTGATCTCGTGACATTGTGAAATATCTTCGACACGACATTTCCAAGTGAAATAACACTGCTTGAATATCTGAAGAATTATTTCATCGCTCGATTTCATCCTCAATGGGATGACTTGTGCTTGGTGAAAAGTACGTAACCGGTCCAAATAAGGAAATATCACGCAGTTGTTCCGCGAATTCATCATCGATTTTGTGGCCGGTAAGAGCCAGATCGGTTGCATACGATTGATCTCGATCCTGGCGATCGATATTTCGGTTAAGGAGCGAAAGTACCACGCCCGTCTCGCCGCGTTTTCCCGTAAAAAGTGTCGTCAGGTCACGGCGTGGGTAGGAACCAGCGTGCAACCGCTGCCACGTGAAACCAACCAACTTCGATGCTCCGTATTTGGTGAATGCCGTATGAAATCCGTAGGCGAACCAGTAACCAGTCGGCCGCGTCATCCATGAGACCCAATGAGTCCCAGTACGGAACCATCGCGATCGGTATAGAAGCGCCATTGAACGAACGTACACGTTCTTCGATCGAATGATGAGTCACTATATTTTCACTGCCTATTTACAAACGATATTATTATTTATTTTTCTACACTCCTCTAATCAACGGTAGCACGACAACTCCTTTTTTTAACTCTTGCCCACTTCTGAGCGGACATTGTACTTGAATCTAGCCAACAGCTCTTTTTATATTTGCTGATAATTTATATTTATATTTGCTTTTTATATTTGCTGAAAATTCAAATATTACTCGATGCGATGTAGCAGTATGATATCTGAACGGACGCCTAGAAGTGAAAGATATAGCAAAGTCGTAAGAAGAAGAAATTTCTGAAGATAAAGCCACGAGTCAATGGAACAATCATACTTATTGGAATACTACCCATTTACAAACGATATTTATTATTTTTCTACATTCCTCTAATCAACGGTAGCACGACAACTCCTTTTTTTAACTCTTGCCCACTTCTGAGCAGACATTGTACTTGAATCTAGCCAACAGCACTTTTTATATTTGCTGATAATTTAAATTTAAGTATTACAGTATGATATCTGAACAGACGCCTAGAAAGATATAGCAAAGACGTAAGAGGAAGAAATTTCTGAAGATAAAGCCACGAGTCAATGGAACAATCATACTTATTGGAATACTATCCATTTACAAACGATATTTCTTATTTTTCTACATTCCTCTAATCGACGGTAGCACGACAACTCCTTTTTTTAACTCTTGCCCACTTCTGAGCGAACATTGTACTTGAATCTAGCCAACAGCTCTTTTTATATTTGCTGATAATTTAAATTTAAGTATTACAGTATGATATCTGAACGGACGCCTAGAAGTGAAAGATATAGCAAAGGCGTAAGAAGAAGAAATTTCTAAAGATAAAGCCACGAGTCAATGGAACAATCATACTTATTGGAATACTACCCATTTACAAACGATATTTATTATTTTTCTA